ACCTGGTGTTCTGGAGGGCTAGAAAGAAGGATCCCTGGAGAGAATGGAAATGGAAGGTACCCCTAGAGTTATGTTTTTTCATGAGCCAAACCCATGAGTCGCTTCGCTGCCCGCTTTCCATGCGGGTGTCCAGGCAGCGAGTAGGACCAAAGGGAAACCCAAACCACGTGGTTTGGGAGTATCTGCCCAAATGGGATCTCTCATGTGCGCCATCGAAAGACCGGTTCCTTTTCCTGGGGTTGAGGGAGAATCATCCACGTAAGGATCCCTCTTCAGGAAACCATGGCCATAGGCCAAAAGTAAGGAGCTTCTACCATGGCACCTGTGATGCTTGGGCGCGGTTGAGTTCCGAAGAAAAAGTCTGCAAAGGCAACCGCAACAGAAACCACAAAATGCTGGTCTGGCAGGGCACCCGAGAGAAGCATGGCGAACGTTACGTATCAACAGTGGCAAAAAGGTGGGTCCTTGGGTGTTTTCGTTGCCAAGCTGCTGCTAACCGAGGTTATATCCCACTTACTCCCCGTGACTGTGGGGTTAGCCTTGTTCGGCTTTGCGAACATCCGAGCTCCAGAAAACGGTTTGGATGCGCTTTTCTGGATTTCGGCTGTTCCTTTTTGTGTTGGTCCCTTTTTTAGACCTCTTTGAATATTTTGGAGGGGCGGATCCACAGCAAAAAAATCCAATCCCGTTTTCTGCTCTGGCAGGCGAGCGAAGCTCTAGGTGTGCAGCGATTCCCAGAACCCTCTGATATGGTGTCCATGTCTTTTGCCCGGTTTTTGCATGGTTGGGGTGGTTGGAGCTTGTTTCAAGGCCACAAGAGGACCACTTTCATTACCCCCCCCCCCCTCATTGCGCCCCCCACCATTTGCCACATGCGCGTTTCGAGTGGTGGCTTGGATAGGTACCATGCCATGAAACATGTGTGTGGAGGCTAATTCCACTTTTGTTGCTTCTTTTTTTTGTTTCTCGATCTTGTCTTTGGGTGTCTCGAAATAGGGGCACCCCGAATTCAATGGGTCATTCTACTTTTGGTTTTGGTTTCTGTTTAAACCAACCCCAAAAAGGATAACCTCCAAAAAGGACACACCTTCAGCACCCAGCCGTTTCGCTAGTTTTTGATGGTGGATTTTGGTGCTTGAAGAGCCTGGGCTCAGAATTGTTGGAGGCTCCTGGGGAGAGTACTACTCTATCTTCACCATTGGGGTGTCTTGATTTTAGGGAACCCCTTTTGGGTCTGTTTTAAAGGGACACCAAGTATGGCACAGAATCTGCCAGGCTTGTGCACATAGACGTCCCTTTCGGTTGTTTTGGCAAAAAATAGATGGCCCTGGTAAACCACCAGGGCATCTATTTCCCCCAAAGGACGCCTATGATTGTGCACAGATTGTCTTTGGTGTTTTTCCTTTTCTTGTGGGCGCTTCGCCTCCAGTTGCGCCAAGGATGTACCAGTCGGGCCAAAGAAACATGGAGCATTTCCAGAACGAGGTGCTTTGTGCTCACGTTTGGCGCTCGCTATTTTCTTCGACTCCCGCTTGAAGGTCGTTTTGCAAGAAGGTTTCAGGGATTTCGACCAATCTTTTGGAGGAGTTCCCTTTGAGCTCTCCAAAACAATGTATGCTGTATAGGGGTTAAATGTGAAACAGAGTCAGAGCAAATCCCTTTTTTTCTGCGCGGTTCTGCAAGTAGCCAACCCTCCAAATTGGGCCACCGACGGTCTGAGCAACTGCAACCGCTTGGGTATCCAAGCAAATGGGGTTTAAACAGCTCCCTAGTTCTGCCTGAGGCCCTTTTAGGTTGCCTGCCGATGACCCAAACTCTCCTTTGGGTCCAAAAGGGACATCGGTGTCCCTGCTGTGCAGGTTTGCTGATCGAAGGGAGTTGAAAGTAGGCCTATTTTCTGGATGAGTGGAAACTCATTGGTTTCCTTTTGGATGTCTCTTACCTCGATTTTTTTTTTTACATGGAACCCAACATGCCTCCGTCAAAAGTGGGGGACCTTTGCCGGGTTTGTGAATTGATCTCCAAAGGGGTTTTGCCTTGGAAACCTTTCAGCGGGTGGGAACTTTTCAAACTTTGCAAGTCGAAGTGACACAGTCGGAAGTTGCGGCAGTTCATTCAGCCTCATTGGAAAACGCCGGGGTTGTCATCCGCAAGTACGGACTGCTTCCAACTCAGCGGTTTTCCTGCGAGAGTCTCTGAAAACAAGGAAGTCCCATGGGGTTCAATGGCCCAAGCACGTGATAGCTGCTGTAATACGCAGATCAGACACATCCTAGTGCTCCCAAAAGGTCCCCCCCAATCCCAAAAAAGGCGTATTTGCGCCTAGTGCCCAATAAGGTCTATTGGGGCTCAATTTTTCTGACCCCCCTCTTGCAGATTCGATCAAAGGCGGAGCGTCCTTAGCTTCCGGAGGCCCGTGGACCCTTTTTTTTGGGGTTGTTTTTAAGGGAAGCGCTCACTTCTTTTGGGGTTTCCCCTCCAAAAGCGACACGCCCCATTTCTGTGAATATATTTTGGGGAAATGGCCTGCTCAAGCGCAGCGGGGACCCCGGCCAGAGTACCATCTCGAGTTGTGTTTGTTCGGGCAAAAGCTGGGGGACGGTTGGATCATGAAAACGGGTGTGGAACCATAAAACCGCCGCTCCTCCCCAAACATGACCGCAGGTGTAGCGGGTCTTTTTGCCACAAGGCGAAGTGTCTTTTTTTTTTTTGAGGCGACTACTTTTGGGTTGGTTTCTATTGGGAGGCCAAAAGGAAGATCCGTGTTGTTTTCCTTCTCCCCATTTTGGGGGGGGGTCCGATTCCTATGTTGAGACAAAGCTCTTGCTTGGTTCTTTGGAAGCTCACAGGACAGGCAGCCAACGCTCAGCAACCGAGGGAGAAACCCTACCCCCTAGCCCGCAGATTCACCCCCGTGGGTTGGTTTGCTTTTTGTTTGGGGGGCCTACTCAAAACAGGGCATGCAAATCTTAGGGAATTGTCCAAAAGGAGGGTTTCTACCCACCAATTCTTTTTTCCACCCCACAAAATGCCCCATTGCCACGGCATCAAATTTTAGGGGATTGTCCAAAAGGGGGGTTTACCCGCCAATTCTTCTTCCACAAAGCCGCAGGTCTTCTTCGACCGCGTGGATGGGGAGCTGGTGCTGCGCAGCGTGGTCATCGAGATTGCGCTGAAGACCACCTGGCAGATCCCCTACAAGGCGATTGATTCCCCAGAAGAAGCCTCTCGATTTCTTTTCTTCCATTGGCTAAAACGCATATTTTATATGTTCCCATGTTAATGTTAAAGGGAATCTCCTGAATTCTTTTGTTTCCATGTCTTTTTTCTCGGAGGGGTTTCTCTTTGGCATGCAAGCGATTACTGGAAGAATTTTGTTTTTCCCAGGGGGCTTAAGCAAATGGAAGTTTTTGTTTTCTGGGAAGGGCCAAACTAGGTTGGAAGGGAGCCGGAAAGCAGAGCTGTATCCAAATGTGCCTGGTTTGGGGGGGGGATTCGCGCCCCGCCCGCCGCGAGACCGTGCGAAGCAAAGCCCTCTGTTTGTTTTTCCCCTGACCGCACTGCTTGATTTTGGTTAGTAAAATTGCACTTTGACCAGAAGGGTCATTGCTGTGGATGGTTGCGAAATCCATTTCGCACCACCTAAGAGACCCTGAAATGATCATTCCCCTTGCAAATGCCGGAAAATAATGGTTTCAACCATGGTATCATTTCGTGGTGCGAAATGGATTTCGATTTTAAGCATCCACAGCATGCCTCAACGGAGCTAGGGACTCGATCGGCCGCGCAAAAGAAGCCAAGCGCTCGATTCGTCATTCTTTTCTCCTTTTCGCCGAGTTTTTTCGGGGTCGATAGGGCCAAGTGAGGGCAGCAATTTGAGGGAGGGTTTTTTAATCGGAGATTCAGGTCCAAGTGGTTGTGGGGCTGTTGGGCACACCACCTGGGCGTATTTTTCTGAAAAGGGTCCCTAACCTAGTTGGAAGGGAGCCGAGCCGCCAGAAGTTCCGGTTGCGGACATGCGAGTAAATATATGAGTCACCCGCAAAATGACTTGCAACTATGAGTCGGGCTTTTCTTTTTCACAAGGCCCTTGCGCCTCTCTTTTGGGGAGTTAAGGGTCGCTGACATATGAGTCACTCACCAGCTGATTGGCAACTTCTGCGTCAGATCCCCACGTAAGAATACACCGAGCCGCGCCCCGAATTCTGTGTCGGACTGTACGTGCTTGGGTTTGGGCCAGCGTCGCAGAACCTCTGGACCTTGCTAGGTTGACTCAGCAAGAGAAAGCACATTCTAAGGCGGCCCCCCCCAACAAAGAAGCAGAAAGAAAACGAAAAGAAAGGCCCCATGAGAATCCCCGACCTCGCAGATCCTAGTCGAAACCTTGACAAAACCACCGGAAAAAACAGATGGGTCAAAATTAAGCCACCAGGACACTGCAGGTGATAGTCCTTGTTTCCATTTACCAGGGTTTCGTTGGGTACGTATGTTTGACCCACATCAGATAGATGAGCAACTGACATAAGTTTTAGGTTCCTTTTCTTTTGGTTTCGCAAGGACGAAATAGCGGGGGGGGGGGGGAGCCAAATTGCCCACAAAACACAGGGTTGAGACCAGCCAAGTTCCCCGCATCATGAGCAGCGGTCAAGATTTCGCGTCATCATCGGTACTCTCATAAGGGATTTGTCATGGGGATACACTCACCAAATTCCCACAAACTGTTTTGTTTCTCAACAAAATCTCATGTCACTTGGGGGCTCAATGAATATTGACCGTTGCTCGAATTTGGCGAACTGAAAATGGTTGCTGGTTTTGGGACTTGGCGCTCAAACGCGTGGCGCAGTCCAATTAAGACCAAGCAGGGCCAAACAAAGACCTAGGGTTCCTTGCCCCCAGCAAAAGAATGTCGATGACCCAATTTGGATGATGCAATTTCTCAGATGGGTGTATTCACCCAACCTTTGTTTCAATGGTATCTGAATTTCAGGGGTATGGCTGTGGTATTCCCAACAGCAACCATTCTGGAGCGATGTCGGAACCATTTTGGAATCATTAGCAGCTCATTCGTTTAGAGCCGCTTCTGGGGGGGTTTCTCTCAAAGTCCGAGACTGGAACTGGCGGTTTCCGGTTTGGCCTCCCACTGACCCGGGACCTCATGACATCATGAGAGATTCTGGAGCTCCCCAACCACTCCAGGGCCGATTTCCGGAGCCGATTTCCGGGCCCGATCTAAGCAGAAGGAAGCAAGGTTGCTGCGGGAAAGCATGAGCAAGGGCTCATATGTCTGGGGGTTGATTTTCCTTTTGTATTCTTTTCAACCATCCTTCTTTTCAACAGCCGGATCCCTGTTTCCCTGGGGTTCTGATGGTTTTCTGGAAAGAGTCGGATCCCTGGAAAGAATGGAAATGGGAGTGTCCCCTGGAATATGGGTGCGGTTCCTTCTATTGGTTCGGGAGACCTCCAACATGGGTGAGCGCTCGAGCAGGTTGCTGGTCAAGACGGTCCCTTTCGTTTTCTTTGTGAAGCAAAAGCAACACACACACACACACACAGCCCAAAGCAAACCCGGTGGCCCGCGCTTTTTTGTTTCTTCGGCAGGATGGGATCAAGCTCAACGAGCACTGGGACGAGCTCGCTGGCTGAGTGAGATGGGCCCATCTGCTCCAGGGCTCCTTAAAACTGATACATTCTTTCATGGCTACTTCATCCCGGGCTCCCGGGGCTCAGGAGTTTGTAAAGCAAAAAAGATCAGGGCTCCTTAGAAGATACATCTTGCCACCATTTGAGGGTGAAGCTTTTTGCAGCCTTCGCTCACGTGTATGCTTCTGACGTCAGTGAACTTTGTAGGTATGAAGTACTGCTGCCACAGCCGGCCCTCGGGTTGACACACGCCACCAACAGTAAGGGAAACCATCTACAAGGCAATGTTCAAGTGTTATAATGTAAGGATCCCTGTCCCATAGCCTGGGAAAACGGACCAACGAAATACACCGAAGAAGCTTTGAACCGACCGACCGACCAACAAACCCAGCCACCCACCCAGCCACCAACCAAACAACCAAGAAACAAACCATTGCCCTCAGACGAAAGGCAAAAGGAGGTTTCAACATGTGTGATTAGGAGGTTGGACCAACCAATTCCTCCTCTTCTGGCGGGTTGTTTTGCCAGATATGATGTTGCCTTGATTTCCTCGCAGGTTAGCAACTGCACTTGGGGGGCTTTGGACATGGGCAAAAGCAGTTGGGCTACCTTCCTACTGTGGATGGACGAAATCCATTTCGCACCACCTAAGAAACCCTGGAATGATTATTGTTTCCCCTGTAAATACCGACAAACAATGGTTTCCCAGGGCTTGAAGGTGATGCGAACAGATTTTGTCCATCCACCGTATTAGTCACGTTTAAACACCTGTGGTCCAAACCAGCCTGCTTGTGGTTCCATAGTCTGGTTTAGCCAAGCATTGCCCAACGAAGTAGTGCCAGCACTCATAAACTACACGTTCTGCCTGGACTACATTCTTATCCTTTGCACACATGGGGACACACACAGTGGCAATTGCACTTTTCTTTAAAACAAAATAAATAAAATAGACATCATTTTTTTTGTTTAACAGGGGAAAGCAGCGGGAGCTACACCATTTTCCGTGGGTTTCACCCAGAAATTTCCGTTGGCATCTTGGGGGACTTGGGGGGATTTGGAGACCTCCGATTCCCAGGTTCGTGGCGACCTTCGCCGCCAAGCAGGCGAAGAAGGAGATGAGTTTTTTTTTTTGGTTGGTGTTTTTTGTTGGTGTTTTTTGTTGGTGTTTTTTGTTGTTGTTTCCCCCCCTGTTTCCCTCTTTTTTTCCGTTTTCGTTGGCTTTTTTTTCCGCTTCGGTCCAAGCCGTACTGTGGGTGGTGAAGCAAGATCCGGTGGAGGTCACGAGCTGAAGTCATGATTGTAAGGTTAGTGATTTGCGAGTGAAACAGTATCATTCCGATGGGTTTCTGAACGGTGGTGCAAGAAGCGGATTTCGCAACCACCAGGAGAAAGCTTCTCGTTGGGCGTTCGGCGGTTGTTCATTGAAGGGGGATGCTTTGTAATGTCAACCCCGGATTAATACACCCCTGGTTGATTGATAGGGGGGTGTCCCTGTTTGGTGGGGATCCATCATTTTTGGAGGGAACACCCCCCTAATAATGGGACGGGTTCTACTTAGATCCTGGGTCAACATTATCTTGTGATTTTGTGAGCGAGGACGCGCCCACAGCCCAAATAGGCAGAGCTCACCAAACAAAAGATGGAGCCATCAAAGACTTGGTGGCTCCCGAAGGCCATCCGGTTCCTTAGAGTGTTTAGCGGTAGTTTCCATTTGACCCACTAACAGTTCAACTTTTGGCGGGGGATCTGAGGGCAGCCCAGAAGAGTCCGCTTTTTTCTTCGCTGCACATGGTTGTTTCTCCCCATGTTTTTCAGAACCTCCCCAGACAGGGGCAAACCCGCCTTGGGAGAGTTGGACAC